GGTATACTTTGAAATCAGGTAGTGTAATGTTTCCAGCTTTGCTTTTACTGCTTAAGATCACTTTTGATTTTCAGACTTTTGTGGTTCTATATGAATTTTAGGATATTTTTGTATGAAAAATGCCATTAGAATTTTCACAGCATTTACATTGACTATGTAGATCACATTGTGTGGTAAGGAAATTTTGCCTATAGTAATTCTTCTAATCCATTAACACAGATGTCTTTCCATTTATCTGTGTCTTCTTTAAATGACCTACATCTTTTATAGTTTTCAGTGCATAAGTCTTCCACTTCTTTGATTAAGTAGTTTATTCTTATGTACTTTTTTATTGTCTCTCTTCCTTTTTTGCTATTATGACCAGAATTGTTTTTTAATTCTCTTTTCAGATAGTTGTGTATAGAAATACAACTGATTTTTATGTTGATTTTGTATCATGAAAATTTATTGAATTGGTTTATTATATCAAACATTTTTCTTGTTGAATATTTAGCATGTTCTACTTATATGAACAGGTCATCTACAAATGGACATAAGTTTACTTTTCCCCTTCTGATTTTAATACATTTAATTATTTATTTCTCTTGTCTAATTATTCTGTTTAGTACTTCTAGTGCTATACTAAATAAGTGTGTTAGGAGTGGGCGTCTTGTATTTATTGTCTCTCACCTTAGAAGTAAAATGTTTAACCTTTCACCATTGACTATGATGTTAGCCTGGGCTTGTCATACATGCCTTAATTTTGTTCAGGTATGCTTCTTCTATACCCAATTTGTTGAGAGTTTTTGTCATGAACAGATGTTGAATTTCATCGAATTCTTATTACACCTACTGAGATGATCATTTTTTTCCTTCATTTTGTTAAAATGGTATATCACATTGATTTATGTGGTTGACACATCCTTGCATGTCAACAATAAATACCACTTGGTTATTAAATATAACCCATTTATGCTTTTGAATTTGGACTGATTGCATTTTATTGAGGATTTTTGTGTCTATGTTATTAGCAATATCAGCCTGTAGTCATCTTTTCTTCTCTTCTTTTTGGCTTACATATTAAGGTGATACTGGTTTCATAAAATTTGCTTGGAAGTATTCCCTGTTCTTATTTTTGAAGGAGTTAAGAAGTATCATATTCAACACCCATTTATGAAAAAGAACTATCAATAAAGTGGGTAAAGAAGAAATTCCCCAATATAGTAAAGACCATATTTGGTAGACCCATAGCTAATGTCCCAATGGTAAAAGCTGAAAACCTTTCCTTTACAATCAGGAACAGGCTAAGGTTGCCCACTTTCACCACTTTTATTCAACACAGTGTTGGATGTCTTACCATGGAAAGTAGGCAAAAAAAAAAAAAGAAAGAAAATAAATACAAATTGGGAAGGAAGAAGTAGAACTATTTGAAGATGACATGAAATTATAGATAGGAAATCCTAAATACTCCACCAAAACCCTTTTAGAACTAGTAAATAAATTCAGTAAAGTTACAGGCTACAAAACTAATATTTAAAAGTACATTGCATTACCATATATTAATAATAAAGTATCAGAAAGAAATCAATAAAACAGTCCCATTTAAAATTGCATCAAAAAGAATAAAATAATGAGGAATAGATTTAAACAAGGGGGTTAAAGATGAGTACTGTGGAAATTAAGACATTGATCAAATAAATGGAAGAAGACACAAATAAATGGAAAGATATTTTGTGATCATGGATTGGAAAAATTAATAATGTTAAAATGTCCATACCACCTCACTTGGTATGGATACATATACAATGCAGTCCCTACCAAAATGCCAATAACATTTTTTACAGAACTAGAGCAAAGAATCCTAAAATTTATATGGAACCATAAAAAACCCTAAATAACCAAAGCAATCTTGATAAATAAAAAACTGAAGGTATCACATTCCCTCATTTCAACCTATACTACAAAGCTATAATAATCAAAACTGTATGGTTCTGGAATGAAAACAGACACATAGATCAATGGAATAGAATAGAGAACTCAGAAAAAAACATGCATATATGGTCAGTTAATCTATGACGAAGGAGTCAAGAATACACAATTGGGGAAAAGAGTATCTTCAAAAAATGGTTAAGAGAAAACTGGACAGCTGCATGCAAAAGAATAAAATGGAACCTACATCATATAGAAAAATTAATTTAAAATGGATTAAATAAATACTTGAAAGTACCTCCTGAAACAATAAAACTCCTAGAGGAAAACATAGGCAGTAAGCTCTTTATGCTCTTCCTAGAAATAATATTTTTTGGACCAGTATCCTCAGGCAAGGGCAGCAAAAGCTAAAATAAATAAATGGGGTTACATCAAACTAAAAAGCTTTTGCATAGTGAAGAAAACTATCAACGAAACAAAATGGAAAGCTACCTAGTGGGAGAGGATATTTGCAAATTGTGTATCGAATAAGGGTTTAATATCCAAAACATATAAATAACTTACACTACTTAGTATCAGAAACAAACTAATTAAAAAAGGTCATAGACCTTGAACAGAAGACATAGGGAGACATACAGATGGCCAACAGACACATGAAAAGGTGCTCAGCATCACTAATCATCAAGGAAATGCAAATCAAAGCCACAATAAAGTATCACTTCACANCAAACGATTTCACTTATATGTGGAATCTAAAAAATAAAACTAATGAAAAACAAAACAAAACAGAAGCCAATTCATAGATACAGGTAACAAACTGTTGGGGAGAGGTTAGGGGGATGGACAAAATAGATGAAAGGGATTAAGAGATACAAACTTTAAATTATAAAATCACTAATTTGGGGGATGTAATCTACAGTATAGGGAATATAGTCAATAATATTGTAATAACTGTATGGTGACAGATGGTAACTAGATTTATCATGGGGATCACTTCATAATGTATAAAAACTTTGAGTCATTACGACGTACACCTGAAACTAATAAGATATTGTATGTCAATTGTACTTCAATAAAAAGCTGCAGATTTTATAGCAGTGCTTTCTAGCTTTGCCCCTTTAAGCATACATAGCTTATCTCTATATAATACATTTTTTCTTCACTCATTTTTTCTGTAAGTTTACTATTTTGTAGTAAAGACTACCAAAAAGGATATCTCATTTTTATTTATATTTATGTAATGCAACAATTTACTTGAAATTCATAGTCATAGAATATGGTTCAAAAGTGTTTGGTAACAACGTTTGAAGGTTTAACTAATAGAAAGCAGAGGGAGCATTTAAGTAATGAGTAGCCTTTCTCATTATATATGACATCATTTTTTCTTCTGATTTATATAAATTGTCCAAACATGAAATGTTTGTAGAGCTCAATACAGATGTGAATAAATTCTGAATAATTCCTTAAGTAAATCTGCACCTTCAAAGTGAGTAATAATTCATTAATGTGGATGTATTTTGATATGATTTTTTATAAATTGAAGTCATTCTGACAGAAAATCTTTACTTCTTTTGTATATGAAAAAAATTATTGTCAACATTTCCATATTAGTGGAAGTATCAATATAAGTGTATGTGTGACACAGAGTATATGGTCTACATAGCTAATTTTAATGCTTCACAATCTTTTGCAGCAATAATTCATTATAAAATTGTTTTGTGATTACATTAAACCCTTTTGTTAAAACAAAAATTAGTATTGATATTCATTCTTTGAATGTTTGGTATAATTCACCCATGAAGCCATATAGTCCTTTGCTCTTCTTCATTAGTAGGTTTTTGATTCATTCAACCTGCTTATTTATTGGTATTTTCAGGATTTCTGTTTCTCCCTGACTCAACTTTGGCAGATTGTATGTTTCTAGGAATTTATAACTTTCTTCCAAAGTATCCAATTTTTTGGCATATAATTGTTCATTACAGTCCATTATGATCCTTTTTATTTTAAGTTGATAACAGTTTAACCTCAATCCCATACAAATATACTATAGTCCTATTACTCCCCACACACTTTCTGTTCTGGTAGTCAGATTTTGTTTCTTTTTATTTTTGTATTCATTAACAAATTTTTATTTAACTTTTATATTAAGGTTCAAAGTAATTTGCACACTACCATTAACATTCTTAATTTAATCTGTATTTTTATATATATCTACCTTCACCAGTGAGATTTATTCTTTCAAATGCATTCATGTTGATATTTAGCTTGATTTTGTAGTAAGATGCTGTAGAATGACTACTTGTCTTCTCTGTGTTACACAGTCCTCCCCATGCCCCTGCCCACATTATACATGCTAATCATAATGCCCCCTTTCTTTTTCCCTGCCCTTATCCCTCCCTTCCCACCCATCCTCCCCAGTCCCTTTCCCTTTGGTAACTGTTAGTCCATTCTTGGGTTCTGTGATTCTGCTGCTGTTTTGTTCCTTCAGTTTTACTTTGTTCTTATACTCCACATGTGAGTGAAATCATTTGATACTTGTCTTTCTCTGCCTGGCTTATTTCACTGAGAATAATACCCGCTAGCTCTATCCACATTGTTGCAAATGGTAGGATTTGTTTTCTTCTTATGACTAAATAATATTCCATTGTGTATATGTACCTTGTCTTCTTTATCCATTCATCTACTTATGGACACTTAGGTTGCTTCCATTTCTTGGCTGTTGTAAATAGTGCTGCAATAAACATAGGGGTGCATCTATCTTTTTCAAACTGGGCTGCTGCTTTCTTGGGGTAAATTCCTAGAAGTGGAATTCCTGGTTCAAATGGTATCTTCTTACATTTTTAAAAGATAGTTTTTCCAGCCATAGTATTCTTGTTTGGCAGTATTTTTATTTCAGTTTTTTGAATGTATCATCCAATTATCTTATGGCCTGCAATGTTTCTGCTGAGAAATCCACTGATAGGCCTATAGGTCTTCCCTTATATGAGTTGATTTTCTCTTGCTGCATTCAAAAGCTGATTTCTCTTGCTTTTGGTTAATCTTGTTTGGGGATTTTTTTTAGCTTCATGAATGTGGTTGTCAATTTCCGTAGCCAAAATATGGAACACTTCATGAATTTGTGTGACATTCTTGTGCAGGGGCCATCATTATCTCCTTTATATAGTTTAATTTTAGTGTATGTGCTGCTGAAGTGAGAGCATATTAGTTTTAGTATGTTTATTTATATATCTTTCCATTATTTCTTTAGGCAAATACAAGCAAACTTGAATTTTTTATTTTATTTACTAATGGGGATATTATTTTATTCCCATTTTATACAAAAATAGCATACTATATACATTGCTCTATAATTTACTTTTGTCATTTGATATATCCTGGAGTCTTTGAAGTACATTGGGGTATTCCTTTTCATATATTAATAGTGTAAATATACTCCATTCTGTGGATGAAGCATGGCTAAGTTCACTAGCTCACCATAGTTATCCACTGAGTTGTTTCCTGTCTGGCTGTCACAACCTTGCTATAAATAACCTTACACATATGTTGTGTGATGTGTGTTTGTGTGTATGTTCTGTAGGATTGTTTCCAGAAGTACCAATGCTAAGTCAAAAGACACATGCATTTAATATTTTGATAGATAATACCAAATTATACCCCATAAGTATATTGTTTTGCTTTACTCACCACTTATATATGTGATAACTATTTCCTCACCATATTGTAGAGTGTTTTTCAGTCCAAAAAGTAGTGGAATTTCTGTGTAGTTTCAATTTAAAATTCTATTATGAGTGGGGTTGAGCATCTCTCCATATTTTAAGGAGCATTATTATTTCTTATACTGTGAATTGTTTGTTCATGTTTTTTGCCTCTATTTAATTTTGTGTTGTTGTTCTTTGTCTTCCTGACTATGAGAAATTTTATGTTGGAAATATTAGGTCCCTTTCTATTACAGAATTGTATTTTCTCAGTATGTCATTTATCCTTGAATTTGCATAGTGTATTTTTTAAATGAAGATTTAAAATTTTTTCATATAGTCAATTTCATCAAAATATCTTTGGAATAAATTTTGTCATATAGATTGAGCTATGGATACAGTTTTGTTTTCCAAATCACTTCCCAGTTGCTTCAAAATCAGGTATGACAAAGTCAATTTTTGCTCACACTGTATCCATATGTATTTGTTTATATCCAGAATTTGCATTTTATTCAAATGGTTAGTCTGTCTCTGTTAGTATCAGTCTGTTTTAATTACTAAAAATTTATAGCCTGTTTTATTATCTAGTTGGGCTGTGTTTTGTATTCTTTTATTAAATGGTCATTCATTTGAGGCCACACGAGAAGACAGGAGAGGCTCAGAAAAACACAAAGTTTATTATACTCACAGATTCTAGACACAGAAGGTAAGGCATACATGCAGTGGCATATGGAAGAAACACCTTGGTATTCAGAACGCATAAGACAGGAGCAAAAGGAAAATTTAGGTTACTGCCTTTGTTGGAGTTTTTGAAGGAATACAAGGCAGGGAAAAAGGAACAGCTTAGAATTAGTTCAAATAATTTTAGTTGACTTTGCATTATAGTTTTCCCTAGTTGCATGGCACCTGTCTCTGGGATACTTAAGGCAGAGGAATAAATCCTCCAGGTGTGTGTGAGCCAAATAGAGGCAGTATGACTATGATCTGGTTAATTTGTGTATCAAAATATGTTCTCAGATGAGCCCTTTGCTATCTCTAAAAATCGGCTAGCCCCAGGAAGGGAAGCCTACCCCAGCAAGAAGGTCAAAATATCATGTCAGAAAACTTTAAAAAATTTCTGTCCAGGCTGGTGTCCCTAATAGTTCTCCCTTTTCATCATTTTTATGACTATTTAAAAATCTTAAATTTACATAGAGTAAAATGTTCAGATTTTAAAGTATGGAATTCAGTGAGGTCTGAAAGTTACATATGTGCACCTTTGTAATAAATAACTAAAGGTATAGAAAAACCTTATCACTAATTAACTTCCCTCATGGCTTTTTCCAGTCAATCCCCAGGCCATGAGAGACAATCATCTTTCTACATTTTTTCACCATAAATCAGTTTTGCCTTTTCTAGGGATTATTATAAATGGAAGTATATAATATGTATTTTTTGTTTCTGGCCTCATTGACTCAAAATATTTTAGATAGTCATTCATATTTTTGTATTGTGTACATTGTTTTTATTTATGAGTACTATTACATTTAATAGACATATCACAATTTATTTACCCCTTCACCTGTTTAAGGACATATTGATTGTTTACAGTTTTTAGCTACTTTATATAAAGCTGCCTTGAACATTATCAAACAACTCTTTTTGTGGGCTTATATTTTCATTTCTCTAGGGTGAGTTTCTGGGCCATAAAAAAAATGTCTCTCTTTCTCCCTCTCTGTGTGTGTGTATATATATATATATATATATATAATTATA